AGGGTGGGGTGGGGGTCTGGACGGCTTCCAGTGCTTTGCCTGGAAGCCATCCAGATTCACCCTGCCCCCACCACCTCTGAGAGCCTTCCGAGCTCTCAAAGGGCTTTCTCCAATGTTGGAGGTGGGCCCTTTGAGAGCTCGGAAGGCAAATGTCGTCGGTCGGCGGTGGCTTCAGGGTCCTTCCGAAGCTGCCGCCCACCGCCGACATTTTCCCCAAGCTGAGCGGTGGGGCTCCCACTGAGCTGGGGGGAAATGCCCCTTCCGAAGGGGAATGCAGGCGGTGGCCACCACCAGCTCCCGCCGCTCAGCTGGGGAAAAATTGGGCTATGGGGAAAAATCGCTTAGTCAGCATCGCATGCGGATTCATCGTTAAACGGGGCGCTCGTTAAGCGAGGCACCACTGTACATGTATCTGATGTTTATATTAGTTCATAGCTTAAAAAGAAATTGAGACTTGTATTTGCTAACTTTAAGGAACAGAATTTTAATCAGGATGGGTTGATTTTAAATTCTGTTTTTAGCTAAATAAAGACCAGTTTTTGAATTGACTGATGATTGAAATTAAGTTACCTATTTTCTAAATTGTGCATTTTCCTGAAAAGGCTCACACTGATTGGTGCAATCATTAAAGTGTTTGCAGGTAAATAAAATTTTTCATATTTCTGTACTGAACATACCTCTTCTTACAAACAAGAAGGAAAAACAGAATTGTGAAATAAATGGATTTTGGTTTACTATTCTTTATATATTTGGGAACAAGATAACTTAATAAATGCAAGGGCTACAAATCCAGCACATTTTAGTGCTCTGTACTTTTCAGAATTAAAGGTGATAAAGCATCTTGTCTCTAAGATGAAAAGTTAAATATTGATTCCATGGACATATTCATATATTGCCTATCAATAATTTGCCTCAATAAGAACTGTAAATGATTTTTAAAACAGTTTTGTTTTCTAATATGTGGCACATAACATTAACTAGAGTTTTTACTGGTTTCTTCTGGGATCATTATGGACCTAAATGTATGGAAGACCTAAATACCTGTTATGATATTTTCGGAAGGAATCATTTATCTGTTTTAGAATAAGGAAAGAGAGATAATGGCCACAGCAGTGGAAGCTGTCCTTTCCTGCTTTTCATTGTGTTTATGGGTTACAGATACTCTGTAGGACTCCCTCCAAAATAAAAGTGGGGCATGGGACTGCCTCTAACTGGAAGGACTTTCACATTCCAGAATAGCTTGCTTGAGGAAAATCTGGTAGTCAGCTTAATCAGTTAAACTGATATTTTTTATCATTAAAATTAAATATATTTATACATAAAGTATCCCCTTTTCATAATAAATACTGTAATGTAATTTTACCACATTTCATTCCTCCTGTTTTAATTATTATCTATTGTGCATTTTGTAATACATTGTCTTTGAACTACTGGTTTTATTTAATTGGTATTTATATTGCTATGACCCCCAATACACTTTAAAAAGTACCAATACATGCAGTTTCAAATATACAATTGTATTTGTTATGCAGTTCCATAGGGGAAAAATACTTCCTATATTGCACTTCTGTAGTATCTTACTTTGGAAAATGTGAAAAGGGCCTAAAGTTCTTTAATTGCTCCAAACACCTAAAATCTAGGCTGGCTGATAAAATAATATATGAAACAGATTTAATCATGTTGCATTTTAGAAATCTTACTGAAGATTTTGAACTGTTTGTCTCACAGAGCAACTGTTACCAATAGGTTATATACAGTAGTGCCTCGCATAACGAGCACCCTGTTTAACAACGAATCTGCATAGCGATTCATTTTTTGCGATCGCAAAAGCGATCGCATTGCCATGTTCCCTATGTGGAAAAATCGCTTTGCGATTTTTCCCCAGGCCGCCGCAGCCATTTTCACGTGCTGCCCTGGATTACCATGGCGGCGTTACAGAGGATCTTTGCATAACTGAGTTTTCGCCCCATAGGAACGCATTAAACAAGGTTTAATGCGTTTCTATGGGGTTTTCCCTCCCGCATTGCGATGTTTCCGGATAGCGACGATTAATCCGGAATGGATTAACGTCGCTATGCGGGGCACCACTGTATAGTCTTAGACTAAGCCGAAATGACTTCTTCTCCTTATTGCATGCATCCACAGCTGCATTTCAATAGATAGTAAAGTCCTGGTAGTATTTGACAGTAATCTTATTACATTCCAGTATGACTTTTGCATTTTTATTTTAAGTAGCTAGAGTTTTGGAGGTAGGTTTAAAGTAGTGCTGATTCATCTAATGCTCCACACATTAAACATTTCTTTTCTGGTTTTTAGGGGCCCAGAAGACACTTGCTTTGAGTATGGAGTTTTCCCTGCTATTCTCAGTTTTCCTCTTGATTATCCTTTAAGTCCGCCAAAGATGAGGTTCACATGTGAGATGTTTCATCCCAACAGTAAGTTCTACTAATAGTTGCCACCTCGATTTTCAGCATGGGTGATTTGTGCCATCCAGTCCTGTTTATCTAGTCTTGTTCATTTACTCATTCATTTTTCCCATTAGGCAACAGGAGGTTAAGTGACTCCATCACTTAACTCATTTTCAAACTTAGTTTCGTTTTGAAAACTGCTGTAGAACTAGAGGGCATATATATCATCTAGTGTTGTTGTTGTTTAGTCGTTAAGTCGTGTCCGACTCTTCATGACCCTATGGACCAGAGCACACCAGGCCCTCCTGTCTTCCGCTGCCTCCCGGATTTGGGTCAAATTCATCTTTGTCGCTTTGATGACACTGTCCAACCATCTCGTCGTCTGTCGTCCCCTTCTCCTCTTGCCTTCACACTTTCCCAACATCAGGGTCTTTTCCAGGGAGTATTCTCCTCTCATGAGGATCACCTAGTATAGCTTTCTTTAATACTTTTAACTACATTTAAAGAGATATTCCACCACTAGGTGGACAGGATGGCTAGCTGGCTGGCTGGCTGGCTGGCTGGCTGGCTGGCTGGCTGGCTGGCTGGCTGGATGGATGGATGGATGGATGG